AGGATTCCCTCCTCTGGCCAGTCACAGGCACCTGGGACCTGGCTTCCCTCCTTCTGGCCGGCCGCAGGCACCCAGGACCCAGGCTGGCTTTGCCCTGGCTAGCCATAGCCACAGGGGACTGTGGGAGGGTGGCTTCACCCTGGCCACAGGTGCTGGTGCTGGGACTGTGCAGCTTGTCCCTCTCCTGGGCTACAGGCACAACCACTGGTGCCCGAGGCCTCAGGGTGGGCGGCTTATCCCTCTCCTGGGCCAGGCTGCAGGCACAGCCTCTGGCGCCCAGGACTGAGGGGTAGGCAGCTTGTCCCTTCACAGGCTGGACCGCAGGTGCAGCCACTGGTGCCCAGGACTGCAAGCCGGACAGCAGGGTGGGCAGTTTGTCCCTCTCCCAGGCCGCAGCCTTGCTGGTTCCCATTCCTCTCTCCCCAGTGCTGAGTATCTGAGCCATTAGGACGTGACAGCATGAGGGTGTGATGACCATTTGCATGTTAGCTCTTTATTGTATGGGATTGGTGTGATCTAGGCTTTTGACTTACTTTTAAACTGTTAGTGGCTCTGACTCGGTTGGGCATTGTCTTGTACACTGAAGCATTGCCAGTTCAATTCTAGGTTGGAATACATACCCAGCTTGTGGGCTCAATGCCCAATCGACATTTCATTCTTACATTGATGTTTCCCTCTTTCCCTCTCCCTTCCTTTCTCTCTAAAAGTCAATTAAAAAAAAAAACAAAATTTAGTCTGCTAGTGTGATTGACCCTCCACCTAGGAACCAGGATGTTATTGTTGGATTCCCAGTCAGGGCACATGCCCAGGTTTCAGGCTCCTTTTTAAATTTTTAAAAAGAACATTGGTGCATTTTAGTTGTTTTTGTGGGGTTGTCTGAAACACAAAATATTAAGAAAATGCCACCTATAGTTTACATAGCATTCTCCCTTAATAACAAAAGTGATTTGTAATTAGCATTAGTACCTTTTAATTAGGACCAGAAGTTGTACAGGGTCCAGTTTAGTTACAGTTAGCATTGTTTTTATGTGTGTCATACTAGAGAACAAAAACACTTATTTCTCCTAATGTTATGTTAGCAAGAGAAAGCTGGTTGATAAATGTATCATTGTTTAATTAGTCATTATAAAATATTCGTATAAAATGGCCCAAAAAATGAAATGGATGTGTTTATGTAGTGAGGAAACTCAGTTTTACCAGTCCACTTATGAGAGGTGATTGGTTACTGTCCCAAGTCAAGTCATCAGGGTACACTTAGTGTGCTGGAAGTGTCTGGCCTGTTTATTAAGTGGTACTGAAATATCCTGGCTGAGTTGTCCTCAGTGGACAATTAAAGCAGTCTGCTCATAATAGAGCTGGCCTGACTGGGGGCCAGTTAATATATTTGCATTGGATTAGGGAGGCTGCTGTGAGCTTGACAGCCAGGAAAGCCTGTTTGTAACAGGAGGGTACTGGGTCCAGGCAGAAGCCCTGCTTTCTCCGTCCAGCTCTGTCACCAACTCCCAGTGTGTGCAGACTTCTCAGACGGAGACAGCTCCTCATCTCTTGAAAGCCTGGGACTAGATTATCTCTAAAGCCTCTTCTAGCAATAGATTTGTTGGCTTGTGTGTTTTTGTTTTGTTTTGCTTCTGCTTCTGCTGCTTCTCTATATAATTTCCCCCAATACAGTTCTCTCAGAGCAGAAAAAAAACCTATCAAGTGTCTGCTGCGGTTGATGCACGGAGTTCATTGGTCTCTGATTTGGCCTAATTTTAGATTTGGTTCTTTACACAGATTATGATGTTTGCTCTTGAATCTGGAAAGTAACCAGAGAGTCTTGTTTAGACTCAGCTGGCACATTCCAGAGATGGAGACAGCAGGTATTTTCAGCAGATGTTTGCCATGCGGTGGATTCAAACTAAAAGTGAAACTAATGTATTCTGGAAGTAGATCTGAAATAACGATCTTGGAAATTTTTGCCTTTCAGAGGCCCGTGAGTATTCATAGCAATTCAGACCAGATTTTGTCTACATTTTCAAAACCCCAGAGGTTAGGGCAAGTGATGAGTGACTGGTCCCTGGTTAAATCCACCTGCCTTCAGGCCTCTGCTCAGTCACCCTCCTCAGGAAAACCACTCCCAGGCCCATTCAGGAGGCTAAACTCTCCCAAGACATTGTGTAACTTTCCTTTACAGCATTTAGTGAGCGTATAGTGCTGCATGTACTGATGTGACAATTTGTTTATCGTCAGCCACTCTAATAACCTAACTTCCACGAAAGCTGATCCTCGTTATATCCCCAGAGTCTAGCAGGTGCCTAAATATTTGTTGAGTCAGTGAATTCAGAACTCGGAAATAAATAAAAATCAGGTTAGCTTACACTGCTGATAGACATTTTTCTTATAGAAATTAAAATGTTTTGCCAGTTTGCTTCTGTAAACTGAGGAGTTTGAGGCTAAAAGAAATCTCACCATTAAAACATGTTTGTAGTGATTATTCTCTGTTAAGAATTTGCTGTGTTTAGCATTCTTTTGCTTCCTTCACCCCCTTCACCTCACCCTAGAGGCCATTTATTTGTTTATTGTTTTCTTTGGGTGGAATTTTTTTTTTTTTAATGCCCAAACATAAAAAGGCTCCAGGAAAATACAAATAGTAAAAACAGACATGTGTGATATTGCCAAAGAAAGTATTCATTTGAATTCTAACTTCTCTGTTTTTCTTTTTGCTCAGCATACAGGATGTTTGTGTTATTATAAGTTTATTTTAGCCACAGATCTCCCATCTGGGCATCTCCAGCCAGTCTCTTTATGGATTTCTGATACTTATACTAGTATATTTATTTATTTATTTATTTTTAAATATATTTTTATTGATTTTGTACAGAGAGGAAGGGAGAGAGATAGTTAGAAACATCGATGAGAGAGTCATCGATCAGCTGCCTCTTGCACACCCCCTACTGGGGATATGCTCGCAACCAAGGTGCATGCCCTTGACCGGAATCAAACCCGGGACTCTTCAGTCCCCAAGCCAACGCTCTATCCACTGAGCCAAACAGGTCTCGGCAATATACTAGTATATTTATATGAAATCTCCAGCCCTAACCGATTTGGCTCAGGGAATAGAGCACATGTGTCAAACACAAGGCCCTCGGGCCAAATCCATCCCGCCAGGCCTTGCAATGTGGCCCGCACCACGCTGTCATCACTGCACTCCGCTGCGTTTCCATCACAATGACAGTTTATGACTGTTCAGTAAACCATTCGGCCCGCGATTTAGGCTGGATTTTAGATTTTGGCCCCTTCTCTGATTGAGTTCGACACCCCTAGAATAGAGTGTCGATTCCGGGTTCGATTCCGGTTAAGGGCATGTACCTTGGTTGTGGGCACATCCCCAGAAGGAGGTGTGCAGGAGGCAGCTGATCGATGTTTCTCTCTCATCAATGCTCCTAACTCTGTTCCTCTTCCTTCCTCTCTAAAAAAATCAATAATATATAAATATATATATATATATATATTTTTTTAAAGAAATCTCCAAAAACCACTGAGGAATCAGTATTCATATAATCAAACTGAAATTTTAATCTTGACCATATAATTTGTAAATAAAATTGGAAGGTTTAGATGGCACTTAGTGTCAGACTCAGGGTGCCTAGAGGTGCATAGCTCCAGGGACACCAGGTGTCTTTATCTTTAGTTGTATCCTACTCAGCCTGATGCCAGGCTTCTCCTGGGCCTGCCAGCACTCCCTACTAATCTAGATGGTTACAGAGATTGTAGGAGTGCCTGGGTTGTGGTTTGCCAAGGACAGATATCTATGGTGAGCAATTATATTCTTTAGAAATGCAGATTTTAGGCTTCTAAGTAATAGTATTCTTCTGGTGTGGGTTGTAATCCCTTTTGAATTTGGGAATGTCTTCACTACCAGCACCACCTGTCCACATCCATATCTTTTAACTTCTTGGATCTCAAGGAGGAGCACATTTATTAGTGATTCCCATTTTGCATTTTGGGTTTTGAGGAGGATTTCCTTAGGCCTGAATGGAGACCTGACTTCATAATTATTTGGCTGTGACAGGTTTCTCAATTGCAAGCCTTCCATGAAATGTAGGTTTGATGGTTCATTTTAGGTATAGCTAGCTATTCATTTGAATTCTGAACCTAGACCCTAAGGGATTTTCCCTAGTATTTTTTTCCCTCAGTCTTTTATTATGAAAATTTTCAAGCATACAGATAAGTTGAAGATTTTTACAGTGAACGCCCACTACTCTAAATTTTACTATCGATAGTTTACTTACCTTACTGACTTTTCATCCATTTATTGATCCCTCTACCTTCTATCACTCTTTCTGGTGCTTTTCAAAATAAATTGGGTATAAGTACACCTCCCCTAAATATTTCAGTATACATTCCTTTAACTAGACCTCAATATTTGCCTACAATTCTTTTTTTTCCTTTTGATATAAAATTACTTATGATGAAATGTATCCATTCTAATTACACTATTTAATGGGTTTTTGACAAATTTATGTGCCTGTTTAGTCCAAACCCTTATCAAGATTTAGAATATTGCCATCACTCCCTTCTGCAGTCAGTCCCCACCCTCCCTACCCGCTCCCACCCACCTAGCCGTACAATCAAGGTGGTATCTTTTTCTAGCATAGATTAATTATGTCTGTTCTGCTTCATGTGTGGAATCATGCAGTGTACACATTTTTGTGTCTGCCTTTTTGTTCATCATAAATTTATGTGATCTATCACATTGTATATTCAACTCCCGACTGGTCTGCAGAAAGTTCTACTTTGAGTTTTAGGTGATTTCTTTTTCTTTTTTCTTTTTTTATATATTTTATTGATTTTGTACAGAGAGGAAGGGAGAAAGATAGAGAGTTAGAAACATCGATGAGAAAGAGTCATCGATCAGCTGCCTCTTGCACACCCCCTACTGGGGATATGCCCGCAACCAAGGTACATGCCTTTGACCGGAATCGAACCCGGGACCTTCCAGTCCCCAAGCCGACGCTCTATCCATTGAGCCAAACCGGTTTCGGCTAGGTGATTTCTTTATGAGTCAAGCCAGTGTATATATCAGTGGCTTGTTCCTGTTTACTTCTGGATAGTATTCCATGGAATGAATGTACTATTGTTTGTTTATGCTCCTCTTGATGAAGACTTGTTTTCTAGTTCTTATGAATAAAGCTGCTATAAACATTCAAGTACAAGTCTTTGGGGTAGACATGTGTTTTCATTGGAGTAAATACCTAAGACTAAAACAACTGTATCATAGAGGATGCAGATGCTTAGTTGTATAACTGACTGCCAAACCTCTTCCCAAAACCCTGTATGTACCATTCTGCACTTCCATTGAGAATGTATGAGAGTACAGTGCCTCCACATCCCTCCCAGCCTTCAGTGTTAATTTGTATGCTTCTCTTGATAGTAAACACCTTTTCGTGTGCTTTTTGGCCTTTTGTACATCTTTTGTGAATTATCTGTTGAAGTCATTTACCCATTTTTGAGTTGTTGTCTTATTTGTTATTTTTGTAAATATATTTTTATTGATTTCAGAGAGGAAGGAAAAGATAGGAACATCAGTGATGAGACAGAATAATTGATCGGCTGCCTCCTGCATGCCCCAGACTGGGGATCCAGCCCACAACCCGGGCATGTGCTCTGACCAGGAATCTAACTTTGACCTCCTGGTTCATAGGTCAATGCTCAACCACTGAGCATGCCAGCTGGGCACCTTTATTTTTGAGCTTTGCAAATTCTTTACATATACCAGATGCTTGGCAGATATGTGTTTTGTTAATACTGTATTTTCTCTTATTGATGCCTTTTGATGAGTAGAAGTTTTCATTTTGGTAAAGTCTAATTTATCCATTTTTTTCTTTTGAAATTTTTGTTGATAGTCATGAGAAACCTTTGCCTACCGCATGTCATGAAGATACTCTCCTCTGTTTCATTTTTTAGGAAAGCATTATGGTTATTGCTTTTATGTTTAGGCCTATGGCCCTTCTTGAAATGATTTTTGTTTCCCTGGAATTTAAGATACAAAACAAAAAACTCTTACAGAAATTCTGTTTTGATTTGATGGTTTTAAAGTATAACTTGGCAGTCTTTGGCTTAAAATAAGCTGAGGATGGTTAAGTGACTCATTGGACTGAGGCAAACATACTGGTGATCTCAGTGAGGGTCTAACTAGGTGAGGAACAAACCAGCCATTAATAACAGGTGGCCAGGGTCAGTCAGGTCTTTGGAGGCAAAAATACAGTTCAATTATTGGCACTAGAGAGTTTTTAAAAATAGCTAGTTAGCCATTTAAAAGATGTTTTAGGTTAGTACTTAAATTTTGAGTCTAATAGTGCAGAGATATAATTTTATTTGTGTGACAAAAAGCTCTTTAAAATGATGTAACTGGAAAGATGCCTAGAGGGCAGTAATTGAGAGTAACCATCCGTGATGAGCAGATAGACAACTCCCAACTGGTCTGCCGGAAGTTCTACTTTGATTTTTAGGTGATTTTTTTATTAGTCAAGCCAGTGTTTAGAGGAAGATTCTCTGGTTACAATTCTTAAAAGATAAATGTCTTAATTCCTTAAAACTATGGAAATAAATTAATTTTTCGATCAGAGGAAATTTGAAGTACTTTGAAACAAAAATATATCAAGAATATGTGATACTTTTATTTAATTAAAATTCGGTATATCCTTATATTCACTGTAGTTTTTAATCTCCCATCATACTACAGTAAGTAGGAAGCCATATGTACCCATGATGCAGATATGAGTTATCCAGGATGTTTCACTTTGGTCCCCAAAATGTGATCCATATATTGAAAATATCCATTTTCTTAGTAACTGGGTATAAAACTTGAAGAATCATGAATTTTAAGATGTAACCAGGGAATGTTTAGAAAATACACTTTGAGTTTATGTCTATGGGACATAGACATAGGCCTTTGCTAAGACAAACAAAAGAGTTTTTTCCAACAGCTTTCATTCTGTTTGTGATTCTAGAATATAGCCTAAATTAAATTATATATGTTAACCACTTTTGACCTTTAGGTAAAAATAATTCACTGCAGACATGGCTTTTTTGACCACAGCTGCTTATTGTTGATATTATTGGTAACGTTTGACACAGTACAGAAAAACGGAGGGGGGAAATCCATGAGCCAGACAGTTACAGGCCCAATGGTTTGAGATAAAGTAATAGAACTGTCCCTAACTATTGAGCCATCACTGGGTTCCTTATGTCTCCGTGCTCTGCCATCTCCCCCTTGGAAAGAGCACATTAAATAGTCTGCGGATGGCTCAGCTGGTGACCTTCCCTGTCACTGCTCCGTTGTGTGCTTCTCCTGGACAGCATAGAGGGGCCACCAAAAGCCAGAATGTGTTCTTTCACACTGAAAGGCTGCAAGTGTCATCTGCAGAGGAGCCGTCAGACTTGTTCACCCTGTCACCCCAGCGCAGGGCTTGGCACAGAGGGAATGCACAGCAAATATTTGTTGACTTGAAATGAAAGGTTGCTTTGTAGCCATGAAACTGAAAAATGCAGGCAGGGCCCTGTCGTAAAGTTATGTCAACAGTAAGGAGAGTTCTGCTACAGGGTAATGACCGCCATCCAGCCTGGAATGTGGAGTGTGCAGAAAAGGCCACTTGTCCTGCCCCCTTTTTTAATTCCGACCCACACACCAGGAGAGGACCAGCATGACTCTTGGGCTGCCGACCACCTGTTACTGTTTTGTGCCTGCTGCTTGCCCCTGGTCTTGGCAGCAGTCTCTTCAGAAGTAGTCATGCAGAGTTTGGAAAAAGAAATTGGGCTGATTTTGAAACTCTTCCAAGCTATCCTTGCTCTTCAATAAGGCAGAAATGAGTCTCTAACTTGACACTTGGTAAACACCTTAAAAGACACTTTCACGTACGCGGTAATTAAGTTGAAAGAGTTAGCTTGTGGTGACACCCTTACAACCTTTCAAGCACATCTTTCCTTCTTTTATATAAGCTTATATTTAGATCTCATTTTTATGAACATGTCCCTGATGAGTACAGAGACAGGCGCATGAGCCAAGGTGAAGTTTACTGAATGTCATCTGAAAAGCCTTCTGGGGGCTGACATTGCGTTGTGACACTGTCATTTATGGGGCTGCGAGGCCTCAGTCCTCAGAGAGCTGTTCTAAAGCAGCTTATTTCTGTGGTTAATTCCTCTGCCCCAATAGGGAATCTCCTCTTAGTTTAGCAGTATGTCAGAAATACTTTAAAGACTAGCAGATGTTTGGGTTAATAAAAACCATACTTATCTTCTTTCATTGCTGTTACACATTCTTACTGTGACTTCTTCATAGGGACTTTGAATAAGGAGTGGGGGGAGGGGACTGTAGTATTTGGCAGAATCTGATCATTTTAAACATTTCTCTGTCATTATAGAAGGCATGGAACATTAAATATAAACAATTCTTAACGGGAGATTAATGGCTCTTGCCAACCTGATAAGACTCTCAGAAGAGCTCCTCCTTATATTTCTAGTTGCACCTTCTTGTGTAGCTCATGTTGCCCCTCTTCCTGGAACATCAAACACAGGCCAGTATCTGAATAAAAGCAGTGTTGAGGGCAGGAATGGGGTATCCAGAAGAGGTGGGAGCTGATCTGAACTCTGTTCTGAACAGTATTCAGAGCTTTGCCAATGGTCACAACTCCTTAGTTTGAGAGGCAATAACAAGTCATCAAAGGAAGGTTATACCTACACATTTGCCAGAGACCAATTTTATAACATAGGCCAGTGGTCGGCAAACTGCGGCTCTGTTGACTAATGAGTTTGCCTACCACTGACCTAGACTCTCGATTCCAATAATTACAGGCTGTTGTTGTTCCTTATGATTAAGCCCCACCCCAGTGGTTGGCAAACTCATTAGTCAACAGAGTGGCAATCCGTGGCTCGAGAGCCGCAGTTTGCCAACCACTAACCTAGGCCCATCTGTCTGTGGACATTTGTATGCTCTCTTGAGAATCTTTGGCGATGTGGATTAGCAGGCAATAATACCTGAAGTTTCCCATGAGTTTCTGAGTATGGCAGACCTTTTAGTAAATGGAGAAGGTACTATTGTATAGAATTAGGGCAGGTCAAATGGGATGAAACTTAGGTGGGAATGAATGTAAGCTACAGACTATATGCAGTTTTACTTACACTTGTGGAGCTCTCTGATATTGGAGGCACTTAAGAAGTTAGAATATGTCAAATGCCATAATAGAGGATTAGATAGTTTTTGAGTGATATAGACAAAAGGGTAGCTAAATGAGGGGAAAGAATGGCCTTCCAGACAGAGGGAGCAGCAAGACCAGCCATATGGGCATGAACATCTCTTTCCCTGGGAGAAGAAGTATCTCTTTCCCAGGGCAGAGTGGCTGGAGGGAATGACAGGAGATATGAGTAGGAAGTTGGGGCAGGAGAGTGGACAAGCCTCAGTCCATGCTGACAGCGTGCTTTTTTGTAAACCAGGGGACCCCTGGAAGAATTCTGAGCAGAGCAAGCAGCTTGGAAAGTGGATCAGCTCAGAGTCTAGAAGCGAGATCCGCTCAGAGGATTTGTAAAGTCTCTGAAGGTGTAAAGGTGCAAGTAGGGCAGGGGAGGTAAAAGTGGGAAGAATGGAGCTGGATTTAAAGAGTTTTCAGAAATAGCAAGTAGGTGGAAATAAGATTAATAGTCAAAAGTGAGTTTATTGGGGAAAATAGCAGATCAGACTGTGGCTTCCACTGGGAGAAAAGCAGACGGGAAGGGAGCTGGTACATTTGGTTTGAATGAGCTAAAATTGGGAGACTGGAGAGCATCCCAGTGGAGAAATCCATAGGCATTTTAATCCGATTCCTAGGAGAGATGTTTGGGCTAAAAGTAGAGATGTGGAAGTCATTTCAATAAAGGCGGGGATCTTAAGCTACCGATTTCATAGCAAGATAAAGTTTTTTCTTATTACAGTAATTTCTTTTAAAAACTATAATACAGAAACATGGGTGTAAGTATTTCACATTTTGTAACTTAAATATTATCGAACTGTATGAGATTTGTCTTTGTTTGGGTTATACTTTTTCTTCAGAGAACTTAGTCTTTAGACTTACTGTACCTGGATACTCGTGATGGAAAAAGTTTTTCAACGTAAGCATTTTAAGGGTGGCTTTTTAAATTGCTGTTTTCCATACTTAAAAGGAAATGTTGTGAAAATGCTAAGCAGGTTGAGTTTGACATAAAGTTCCCAGCATAACCTCATTCTTGCATTACCTCGTAGGCATATCTTTTTCTTACACATCAAGGAGGCGCTCCTGGCCGGCCATCTCCAATGCTCCCCAGAGCAGGCGGTGGAGCTCAGCGCCCTCCTGGCCCAGACCAAGTTTGGAGACTACAACCAGAACACCGCCAAGTACAGCTACGAGGAGCTGTGTGCCAAGGAGCTCTCCAGCGCAGCCTTGAACAGGTGAACCTGCAGTTAAGGCTGGGGTTTGTGCGTGTAGACCTAGCAACTGTATATGCATTTCCAGGAGAAAATGAACCTATAGTATGTATAGATAATTTGTGAGGTTAAGACCAGACAGTTGTCCAACTTAACCAGTTATTTTCAAAAGATTCTTAGCCTTTTGTTTGATAAACCTATAAATCAGCACATAATTCACACAAAGAAATGCCCTTATATAAAATGCTATATAACAGGAGTTTAAAAAAAAAATCTCTGACCTTTAAAGATTACAAATTTCCTAAAATCAAAACCCTGTCCTATATGCTGGAATCCTGTTCATCCCAGCGAGGATTAAACCAGGAGGCCTAACACAGGTGTCTTAGTTCTTCCTCAGGAACAAGTTACTCCAAAACTTAGTGGCTTAAAACAACAAACATCCCCCAGGTCTGTGGGTCAGGAATCTGGTCCTGGATGGCTGGGTTCTCAGGCTCAGGATCCCTCATGAGGCTGCTGCTACGCGCTGCTGGTGGAGGAGAGAGGGATCCGCTTCCAGGCTGACTCAGGTGGCTTGTCAGCAGGCCTTGTTCCTTGCCACATGGGCCTGTTCACAGGGCCTCTTCATCATGTGGTAGCTGGCTTCACGCAGGACAAGCAACCCTTGCTAGAGCAAGAGAGAACACCCAGATGGAAGGCACAGACTTCTTATGACTTAATTTCAAAGTGAGTGGCTTCCCATCACCGCCATATTCTGTTTATTAGAGGCCAAGTCACCGTTTTAGCCCACCGTCAGGGGAAGGACATTTCCAAGGGGGAGAGCACTCATAGGTGGGGATCTCGATTAGAAGATGTATGCCTCAGCAGATCAAATAAATCCTGTCTTTTTTTAGTTGCAAACAACCTTATCAATCTCTTATAATGCTATGTTTCAGTGAAATTTACAAAGTAAATGTAGACAAAATAAGTTCTTACATGTATTTTTAGAGATTTTCATAATTCTTCCAATTCACCCTCATCCAACATCCCCAATAGTCTTTCTACTGAATATCTAATAGCCAAGATCTTGACTAGTGTCTTGGAAGTATTTTACAGTAAATTTGCTAAATAAAAGAAACAGCAGGAACATACAGCTTTAAGTTACTGTGATTCACAAATGACAGTGTCAATAGAGTTCCCTAATAAAAACGATAGACTTTTCTCTAAAGACTGCGTAAGTTAATCTTTCTGTGTACCTCTCTGCCTTTTTGGTGGCCTGCAGCATCATTGCAAAGCATAAGGAGCTGGAGGGGACCAGCCAGGCCTCGGCGGAATACCAGGTCTTGCAGATCGTGTCGGCGATGGAAAACTACGGCATCGAATGGCACTCAGTGAGGGACAGCGAAGGGCAGAAGCTCCTCATTGGGGTTGGACCTGAAGGAATCTCAATTTGTAAAGATGACTTTACCCCAATTAACAGGTAACCCAAGTCTTGAATTCTTTAGACCTACACATCTGTATACATTCATAGCTCTAACCCTGAAAAATAGAGAATGGAGTGGGATTTACTGAACAGTCATCCTTTAGGAACGGAAGTGTTTCATATTGGTACAAGCATTCATTTTATTCAGGCTTTGATAACGAATAATTTTTTAAAATACTAACTCAAGTGTATTGATGTGACAGGCTGAATGTTTCTTTTTTTTTTTTTCCAAATAAGTTGCTCATTGCTATAAAAATCTCACGTTCATCTATACACACATGCACATACACCCCTTCCCCCCCCCAAAAAAAAAAAAAAATTGCTCCACCTCTTCTCTCCTCTGACCCACAGTTGCCTTCCTAACTAGGAATCGAGTACTTGAATGAGCACCTGATTTTGTTGCTGGGGCATGAGCACAGAGAGAGGATCCTATGAAGGTGCCTGCAATGACAAATCTCTCCTGTGGGCTTGCTCACTTTTCTCTTCCTGTCTCCCAGGATAGCGTACCCCGTGGTGCAGATGGCCACCCAGTCGGGAAAGAATGTGTACTTGACGGTCACCAAGGAGTCTGGGAACAGCATCGTGCTCCTGTTTAAGATGATCAGCACCAGGGCTGCCAGCGGGCTCTACCGAGCAATCACGGAGACGCATGCTTTCTACAGGCACGTACCTCGGCGAACCTCAGCGCTCATCCTCAGCTCTCAGGTTTGAGGTGGCAGTGAGGCTTCCTCGGTTTCTGATGGTGGTGTGTCAGTAAACCACGTTCCAGATTTAAGAAATCAGCTGCTTTAGAACACTTCACTTCTGAGCAGAGGAGTCCTTAGCAACATCATCCCGCTTTTCCCACAGAAAGTGCGTGTGTATCTCTACAGACTCCCTTCCCCAGTTACCTCTTCCTGCCTCCTCCCAGGACCTTCTCACAGCACACTTCTCCCCTACACCCATAACCCCCATCCCCTCACCCTGCCCCACCGCCCTGGTGCTGCCTTTTGCCCTTTCCCAGCAGGATGACCTAAGTCCTCTCTTTTCTGGCAGAGCTGTGACCCTAAAGGGTTTTTAATAACAATTTTGATACCCTCATTTACAGAGGGTGACTTAAAGTAGAGTTTCACACAAATATTTGGAAAATTAGAGCTAAGAAATTTAATTGGCAGGCACCCTGAGCTTTTTTTTGTTGTTGTTAAATTAGACATGCAAATTGTGGAACAGGATAGAAAATGGGTAGGAATTTTTAACATAAAACCAACACTTCAGAGAAAAATGTCCTTTTTCTTGCCACAAGCTGCTTTGTCCATCACTCATGTCCTCGCAGGTGGAGGAGACATTCCTTGTCCTCGACGTTTATGGCTGCTTTATCGTTAGCACTCACGAAACTGGAAGTATATACTTTCAAGCATGCAAGTAGGCATATTGGATGTCTGCTGACACAAAAACTGTGCATCCCAGCCCTGCCTGACGGT